ATAGTTTTGTCCCCCAGATGTATGCTTGAATAAGATGTCATACTCTGTTTTTGTTCCTGATTGCACCCTGCTGATGTTCTTAGGCAGCAAGAAAATTACCTTATTGAAACATATTGCTGGTGGTGACTACGGGGCCAAATTTTGCATCGGTATTACACACATGACATATTCAGAGACCTTTGAGTAAGACTATGAATATCAAGTGATTGCAAAGATTATACACGCTCAGGTCTCTTTCTTGGGGTGTAAAAGGTTGTGGGTCTGGATGAGTGTCTTTCAGATCAATATAATTATGTCATAAAAGCGTGTCACAAAATAGTTTACTTGCAGCCTGTACTCTCACCCGCCTCCTCCTAGCTTACTCTTCTGTGTTGAATTGCTTCTAGAGACTGCGACAGTCCTGTGGGGTTATATGCTTGCATTTTCTGATTTCTCATTACGTACTTGAGCATTCTCCATGTCATATACATCCAGGAGTGTGCAAGCCACATGTATGGGATCATGGGAAATAGGGAGCTGTGATTTCTAGAGCCTGATGCTCAACTGAGGTGAAACTTGTCCCCCCTTTATACTCCACAGGCACACAAAAAATATGTCCATGTGTGATTTATTGGAGTTGGAAGAACTCTACAGCTAAGGGCAGTGTGGTGATTGGAGGTGCTGGTGTCTAACTGCATCCATCTGCTGAGGTGGAGCAGATCTAGAGTCACTGCACTTCATCAAGGGAATCCAGGAGGGGGGCAGCAACCATGCAGTCCTTCTGCTATCCTCCCAGCTACAGTGGGGGTCCTTCCATCACACAGTCCCTCCCCAGCTAAAGTGCAGGCCACAGTGACTTCCAGATAGAATAAAGCCAAGCTTGGAGATTACACTCTAGTTTTCTTTTGGCCACTGGCTGAAATGCTTGCCAAATGTTCCATGCAAACTGTAGCTGTTGCTGTCCTGTGTTGCTAGCTCCTATAGGACAGTTCTTCACAGAAAGAGACACCTCAGTTAAAAATCTCCCAGAGAGATTGAGGGGCCAATTTTATTTTATTAAAATGAAACAAACTCAAGTTCCCCAATAATCGCCCAGTTTCTTGGTTCAGCCACGCAGTATTCATCCTGCTGTCTTGATGAGAATAATGAAAACGCTTAGCTGGCCTCATCTGCACCTAGCTGTTGTGACCCTCAGCAGACTGTCCTCACTGGCACATCTCACACTGTGTTTTTCTGATTCTCCACGTTCTGAAAGCAGGAAGAGATAGAACCTTCTGGAACCAGGGGTCTCACTTTGAAAGCAGAATAAAGCTTCCTCTGATTGTTCCTCTTTAAAGGAGTCCTTCACGAGCTCTTCCTGTGCCCCCACGTCTTCCCCACCAGACCTTGGCTTATTTCCATCTTTGTCACTTTGCAGTCACAGAAATGTGTGTCTCTGCAGCTCTCTCAAAGCCCCTGTAGAAAGTAGAAGGTTCCTGAGACCAGGAGCAGATACCTGAAGCCGGAGCCCACCAAGTCAGGGCACATGCTCTTAATCTGCATACAGGTGTGATTTCAGGGAAAAATAGGTGGAGCAAAGAGTGGTCCCCTGAGGAGAGGAGTCAGAAAATAGGCAGTATTTCAGTGCAGGTCATTGTTTAGACAACACAGAAGTGTCTTACTGAGTAACCACCCCCTCAGTGTTCTTTGGAGGTTATGCCTGTTGTGCTTACAGCATCTTCAGTCACCGAGCCCATCCATACAGGGCTGAAAGGAATCCTTGAAAACTCACCCTCAGCTGATTTGGTCTTGTCAAGCTGCTGTTTATCAGCCTTGGGAGGCCTGACCCCAGGGTTCCCTATGTTGTAATCTCCGGGTGACCATGGAAACCTCCCCTTTGTCAATACAAGATTTTGTCCATGGTGGAGGAAATTACGGAGGAGAACCGCAGAACACCACAGCCCAGTCCATTCACTGTTGGAGGAGTCCACATTCCGGTTTGGAAAGCCATCCCATAGAAACCCAGACCTAAGTGTTTGTTCCCTTGTAAATGTCTGGAGGATGAAGCACTCTCTGCTTCCTATGTGTTTGCCATTCCATGGTGTTCACTTTATGGAAGGGTAGTCCTCTCCCCTGCTTCCTCTGCTCATGAGAAATGGGTGTATTACACGGAGATTTTATGACATTAGTGTCTGCAGGCATAAGTCATCCTAGCATGGCCCCTTCCCCCAGAAGATGTATCTACCCACAGCACACTATTTGAAGTCCAGCCAGAGATAGTATCTCATTGCTGGCTTCCTCCTCAGAGAGCGCTGGACAGTATCCAGTGCTGGCACACAGGGTGGCAGTGTCTGTTCCCCAGGGACAAGGAGTTGGCCCAGGATACAGAGGCCCCTGTCAGTTTATGGGTACTCAATGTTCTTGTCTTCTTTACTTTTTCCCTGGTTTTAACTCAGATCCTGTGTTTATCACCATGTCATTAAACATGCCAGTTCAGTGTTTATCCAACCATCTCCAGTAGATTCGCAAATGCTCCTCCCAAGGCACAGCCATCTCCGAAAATGCCCACCTGTGCCTCCGATTCTAAGTGGTGCCACACTCATCTGGACTTTCCACCCCGTAACAAGATCATAAATAACACCTTTTGATAAGCCCCTCCCTTTGACCCCTAAATCATCTTGCAATGTGATTATGAAGACCCTCAAGGCAGGCGCCATCCCAACCTTCACATCCCCAGCAAGCAGCATGAGAAAAACCCAACACAGCCTGCAGCAGGCTCCTGAGTGCTCTCCTTTCGCACTATTCCCAGCTCTGAGCTACATGAGCAGTTCAGGTGCTGAGGCGGCAGGGATCTGAGACCTGGGTACCATCAGGGGCACTGAGGGTCAGCCCTGCTTGGCTGGGACTCCTGTTTCATCAGAACTGCTGGGAAGGAACGAGGAGGAGGGGAGCCCAGGAGGGTGAGGATAGAAAGCTCCCCAGAGAACAACTCTGTTAGCATCCGAGGCTGGAGAAGCAGAAATCCAGCCACCTCCGGGGGTGGGGGGTAAATGTAATGTAAAGACTGAGGGAAGCAGGCGCAGTGCGCTGAAGGGGGCTGCGATTCTCCCTGTGCAAAGCCGTCCCGGAAGCCAGCAGTCACCCTCTTTCTAGCAGCTCTCTCCCAGAAAGAGAAAGGAAAGTTCAAGCGCTAGGGCCCGCCCGCACAGTGGGAGCCCCGTCACATGGGCGCATCATGAAATTTTACTGCAAAATATCCTTTTTTTCTTATTTGAAAAGACAAATTATTAGCATTTTTAAACAATTTCAATATGTTTAATGGCTGAAAGTTAAGCTCAAAGTGTTCCGCTCACTGAGTAAAGTACCAGGTCTGTAAACAGGAATCTTAAGTTACCCCAAGAGTACACTCATTTTAAATTTTACTTGAAAGCGGGATGTACGTTTATTACAATTTCAAACAAAATGCTAATGCCATTAAACAAATGAGGTTTAGGCAAATTAACTGCATTTTAATATTCTGAAAGCCTATGATATAGGACATTGTGTTACGAAACATTGGCTAGAAGCATCGGCTGCAAGTGGGATTTTCATTGCAGTGAATCTCAGGAGAATATTTGTAATTAGTATCATTTGCCTAATACTTCAGGTTAATTAGAATATTTAATTGAATAGCTGTAATCTTCAGAGATGACTATATTATGATCAAATTAGCTTCATCCCGACAGAGCCTGATCGCAGGGCGGCAGCCTGCCTTACTTCTGCCAGCTATTCAGCCCTCTGGAGCGTTCAGCAACATAAGAAAAAATCTGTTTCTTACACTTTTGAATTTTAATGATCCATTTGAACTCTGCCATCAACATTTAATTATTCTAGGAAAAAAAAAAGTCCCAGCCATGACTCCCATATGGCACGTTGGCAAATGCGCTTGCCCACGGTGGCGCCTGCACCTCCCCAGCAGCTCAGAGGAGGATTTAGCGCAGCCTTGCCTCTGAATGCAAGGCCTATCCCTCACGGTGTTTGCAAATACAGACCAGACGAGGCTTCGGAGAAGAGGTTACTAGGATACTATTGAAGCGCTATTAGGAACAGATGAATTGAGTTTCAGAATGCTACAATGAACTTAATCCTGTAATGTCGACACTGGACACAGCATTGTGTTCAGAAGGCTCTGTGGAATCAGATAGCCATGTGGCTAAGCTGCAGGAGCTAAAAACACATTTTTTTAAGGACACAGGGGGCAGGGGTGAGGGCGGTGCCTATACAAAAATCATCCTGGATCAGAGGGAGGGTCCTGACACTTGGGATTCCGTGTGCAGATAGCAGTAAAGGAATGTGAACGAAGCTTACCCATGGATCTTGTGGTCCCAAAATTCTGAGAGCTAAGGGATCACTATAGAACAATCCAGTGTCCCTAGACTGAATGACACCTTCTCAGTGTTAAAACATCCTGGTGCTCATGGTGGAAGCACAGGCAGAAACTGCTGGGCCCGAATCGGAGTCGAGCAGCGCAGCGAATCCAGGCAGTGTTCCCCAAGGCTGGAGCACCGAGGATCATTGCACACAGAGAGCCAAGCAGGTTCAGAAGGAAAGGGCTTCCAATGCTGCTACCGCTCCACGAAATCAGACATCGATCATTCTTGGATTTCGTGCCTTGCTTATAGTAGAAGCACCAACTCCAGTTACCCAGGAAGGTCTGGGAGAATATTGTGGGAGAAAATGTGTAGAAAAAGGGGTGGAACACATTGCTGTTTAACAAAGAAATTAATTTTTCCCCCTAGACAATCATTCTCATCTTTGCAAGGACTGTGTATCTTTACAGAACTATGGAGGAATGGGCACCTACACATGCACACACCCGGAATGTGTTTAAGGGAGTTCTTAAATACAGAAACTGCATTTTGCTTTGAAGTTAATTGACGAGCTGAAATAGATAATTTATGTTAGCTGTGCCGGCAAATAACGGGGGAGAGCTCACCATGGGTAAATACCGTATTGAGATCTGTATTTGGATTTTCTAACAGGAGTTAAAATGGCATGCAGATAATGCGGACCACTGGCAAAACCAAGCTGGGCTGGTGCACAAGTGACTGGCACTAAGCTGGATCTGAGCAGCACTGTTCACAAACACCAAATGGCGTGTTTACCCGAATTCTTCAGGATGCACTTCATGGGTAATCGATATTACGAAAAGCAGTAACGGCCGTAAAACCTGGAATGTCTTCAGCAACACAGGAAGAAGAAAAGGCAGTCTGAGTTTGCACTTAGGTGGCTTGCTCGTACCTGAAGGACAAGTGAAAATGGGGGGCATTACCTTGGAAGCAGACCTGGTTCTGGGGTCACTGACTTTATGGACGCCTGCTGTTACAGCCTGATCACCTGATCACAGTGCAGAGTTAAAGTGGAACACAGTATCCGCGATGTTTCGTGGTCACCAATTTTACTTCCAAACCACCTCGAAATGATGATTTAAAATCCACTCTCCAGCGGCAGTTAAAAGCACCTGGAGAATTCATTTTATTGGGGAGCACACTGCATAATTGAAGCTACCACGAAATCTTGAAAAAAAATTGCTGAACACAGAAATTGTATATACTGTGAGCTGGAATCTTGCCTTATCTATAAATCTGAGCCTAAAATTGTTTTGTGCAAAATCAGTTCTACTTTCCTGGAGCTAGTGTTCTATCTGTGACGATATATCAACTACCCATAGGTATCTCTTTTCAAAAACATGCCTCTGCTCCTGGATCCACGAGCATCTGCTGGGACGCATTACAGGCCCGGCTCCTCCCGGGTAGCAGGGCTGTGATGTACTGTCTTCTCGGCGGAGGTGCTCCCCACACACGCAAAATCCATCCAGAATTAAAAATCTGCTCCACTAATTGTGGAACAAATTTTCAGCAGCCCTCTTTGAGAATCCAGCCCTAAGTATTCTCCCATCTATTAAACAGATGGCAGATAAGATTGTAAACATATTTGCTTCATATTGAATAGATAGTTTCTGGCATAATACTAATTAACAAATTAAATGACTGACTTTCTGCATCACATTAGAGTTAAAACCACTTTGTAAGTTTGTCTTGGGTAGTTATTTACTTTGACAATAGCACGCAGTGAAAAACTGTTAAGTGTTTTCCCAGCAACATTATGCATGGAATAGTTTTCTTTTTTAAAACTCCATATTTTATTATAATTCATTTGGCTTTCATTACAGTCACTCATTACGAAATGTATGTGCACTTAATCCATTTCCAAAGGCTGCATGTTTCCACAGCCCGCTCGCTATCATTGTCTCTGCTCCATGAGAGTGTGCATGGAGCTAAGCGTGCCTCTGCTCCTCTGGTTTCTCATATTTTAGGTGGGACCATTCAGGAAAGAGGAGCCGTGATGAACGGTGTGACAGCCGAGCTGTAGGGAACATTTCTGCTGAGATCATTTAAAGGAGAACATGCTATTCGCAGCCTCTTCCTGGGTCCTGGCAAGTGCATTGTAACACCCTCGACCTGGCCCTGGGCTGTGCTGTGCTGTGCTGTTTAGCGCCTGGAGGGATTGGTTGGCTGCTATTCACCCTAGGCTCTGTAAGCTTACCTGTGAAATGGGAGCAAAACTCTCCCATCTTCTCACAGGATGGGTCTTGACTGTGGGACATGAAACACGTGGGAGGGAGCCCTGGGGAGTTCTCCTGAGGGGTCAGCAACATTATATTCCAGTGTCTACAACCCCCACTTTTCCACACAAAGGAACATTTGCTAAAGTGAAGAAATGGCGAATCTGCATATCTGCACATAGTATTCTATATGTCTACAGCAATGCATTTTGTGGGAAAATGAATTTAGCCTGAATATCTCAAGCCTCTGGGTTCTTTATCAAAACATAGAATCCTTGTCTTTTCTCACCTGCTTTCCTCCTTTCTCTCCTCCACACTATCAGAATGAAAACAAAAACAGTTCTTTGCAGAAAATAACTTGAACGATCGATGCTACGATACTACCCAAGCAGGGAAACAACATGGGATGGTAATATCCAGGTAGGATTTAAATGAAATGGTGGTCCCACCTTCACCAAAATCTTATGATTTCTGTTGGGTTTAATAAAGAATGCTGAGCCTGTTCAATCCCTGTGTGGTTTCTTGGCAGTGAACTGTCTCCAGCAATGGAGTTCATGTATCTCTTATCAAAAAGAATTCCTCCTGTGTTGAACAAGAGTGCACTCGGGAGGCTTTGGCAAGCGGGGTACAGATGCCCTTTCAAGGTCAGCAGTGTTATGATCACAAGTATCGGCAACGCAGATACAAGGAAACAGATCCCGAAGATTTCAATGGCTCAAATGGAAAAGCAAGCCCCAAATTAACTCAGTGCCCTAAGATGCTCGTCTCTTACTATCTGCATTGCACTGACGATTTCCTCATTAGCATGTGCATGTGTGTGTGTTGTGTGTGTGTGTGTGTGTGCGCGCACATGTCTATATGTCATTTTTGTGCCACTGAGAGTCCACATTTATGGACACTTGGGTGTGTTTAAAATTAATCTTTATGACTTTGAAGTTTCTTTTTTTTTTCATTTTCCACTTATGCTTAAAGCTGAAGCAAATACTCACAGCAATATTCATTCAGACATTATGACCACTTGGAATCTGGATGATGGCAAAACATGATGGGTGAGGAAAACAGTCTCTCATTTCTTATAACTCTCTATGAGGCGGGACATGCACATTGATTAGACATGAAGGAAGGAAGAGTCAAATGAGGAAAGCTGAGCCTGTGTACAACGGGAGAATGGGCTTTGAAAGAAGGCTATGGCGTTCTGGAAGTCATTCTGTGGCCTAGAGAGTCTCCATTCTCCTCGGCCCCACTGAAGCTCTTCTGGTAGAATAGTACTGTGTGGTGGTGGGGGGGCTTCACTCTGGGACTCCTGATTTACCCATCAGCCAGGTTTTAGTGGTCTTGACCATGATGGAGAAGATAACAGCTGCCCTGTGGGGTCAGCAGTAGTTTTCAATGAGGCAATGTATTGCAAAGTTACCTGGATTTGTCTGGGCCTGTCAATTCACAGAAGTTTTCTAGTAAAAAATGGACAGAATTTTGCTTTTCCAAGGCCCGGCTGGCACAGAAATACTGCCAACTGGGTGATCATATCAGAAGCTCCCAAGGATTCTTGACAACCCATGTTTCATCAGAGCTTCATACTGCAGCCATTGTTACAGCACACATGCACTAATTTTCTGTTAGTGAGTGTGATTAGTGGACTACATTAATTCACTGTTTATTCTAGCTTTTAATGGTGATCAGGCAACCTGTGAAGAGCTGTTACTTTTTGTCTTCCTAGAGGGCAAAAAGAAGGACTGGCAAGCATTCTAAGGCTGATCACTAAGTCAAAGTCTGCCCTGGGGGCTGAAGAATCTCCATGACTTGGGCTTCCTTGTCAAAGTCATTCCATCCATTAAATGCAGGGACTACTCAAAGGGTTTCGGGTGCCCATTTCAAAGGCTCATTCTTTACATAAGCAACTGGAAAAATCCACTCCCATGGACAGGGAATAAGAGTGTGGGGTGACAGGCAGCAGTGTTTGCTGACATTGTGGACTTCTTTGATTTCTCGTGAGCAGGACCGAAGTGATTGTTTTAGGAAGCATTTAACAGCCTCAGGGTAAGAATCCAGTTTCCATTTGTGCCTAATCCAGGAGAAAAGATGATTTCCACCAGTGCAGATCCACTCTATGTTCATCTATCATCCCTCCCTTGAAAACATCTTCTGGAAAGAACTCAACCCCCCACTCACATAATCAGAGAAGAATGGCACCATGTTACATACTCAGACTCATGAGCAATGCATATCAAGAAAGAAATCATTTCATAAATGAGGAATATTGGCATATAAAACTTTCTTGAATAATTAGGTCAAATGTCCATCTATATTAATTACCTACTTATTTATTATCCGTCTTAATGTCTATCTACTAGTCTCTATTATTTATCTAATCTATCATCTATCTATTTGTCATCTATCTATTCATCATCTATCTGTGCTAGCTTGACACTAACCAGGATCATCAAGGAAAAGGGACTATGCAGATTGCTCTATAGGCAAGTGTTGACTCATGAGCCGTGTGGGTGGGCCCAGCCATGTGGACAGGTGCCCTGGTCTGTATAAGAAGTCAGGCAGCGAAAGTCATGAAGATTAAGCCAGGAAGCAGCTTTTCTCCATGGTCTCTGCTTCCGTTCCTGTCTCCAGCCTCTTGCCCTGTGTTCCTGTCCTCACTTCCCATCATGATGAACTACCAAGCTCTTTCCCTCATATGTAGCTTGTGACATTTTATCATGACAAGAGAAGCCACACTAAGACATCATTTATTTTCCATCATCCATCTCTCTACCAATAATCTATTGCTCTATCATCTATCCACCCTCCCACCCAATCTATTTTACAGTCCTTATTACACATAATCATGACATGTGAATTTACCCTACTTTTTAAGTACCATGTGAAATAAGAAGGGTTTTATGTTTTGAAACATAAAAAATATTTCAAAATAAAAAATTAGTCTTGTATCCACCAAAATGTCCGTATCTCTGGACTGTCATAAATATTAAAAAATGAAAGCTATGCATAGGTGTGTATAGCAATCAATACACATGTGTCAATTTAGGTTGAAGAAATCCCAGATCAACACAGATTTCAATAAAGAAACCTAGTACAAATGATATTTTCAAATAATTCTGTGATGATTTGTGAAGAAAGCCACAAAGCAAGATTGATAAATGAAATGAGAATTTCAACCCATCCTTTAAATAATGTCCTTGTGTTTTGTTTGTTTGTTTTTATGAATGTAGATCTGGTTCCTTTGCTTTTCCCAGGGTATGGCAGGTGTTTATAAGCTTATTAGATTTTCAAAAAATGATAATGAGGCAGATGACATACTACCTTTGGGGAAATAATTGACAGGTAATCAAAACTCCAAGGGAAAAAGCCAAGTAGGAAACGTCCGTCAAGTTAATAAGTTGCTGTCTGTTCTTAACACATCGGGCGGGCTTCCTTCCTGGTGTCAGTATGCCAGCATCCCGCACCAAGGTTGGGAATGCAATTGACGATGACACCTAGGATCTGAGGCTCAGGCACATGGCTCCTTTAGGACACAAGAATCCTTTCCACAGTCAGATCTCAAACCCATGTCAAAGAAAAATGAGAATGAATATTTATAGGAAGGCACAGAAATACATGGTGATTTCCTAACATACTCCAGTTTAGAGGAAATGACCAACTCTTACGAAAGCCAACACAAACTAAATCAAATATTTTATTCAGTATACTGTAAGACTTTAAATAGGTTAAAGTAAAATACAAGCAAGTTAAACATTAAGACATAATTTAATTCGAGTACCTAGAATTTAATCTAATATGAGTATCCACAGAAATGAAATGTTTGACTGCTTGGTGGCTATTACAGTTTAAAAATACTATTTTTCTGAATAGATTTATCCAGTGAATCAGACTCATTTTTTTAGTCCAAAGTGACTTTCAGACTCTAGTGTGGATTCGTTATGCTTTTTCCTTAATTACCCTCCGAAAGCTTACTGAGTTCATAGCATTTGCACTTTAGAACAAACTACATGAAACTTAAAGAGGGGAAACATGATTTTGTTTGTAGGGAGCAATGTTGGTTCATCCACTCAGCCTCAGATAAGACACAAGCAAGTCAATGATGAAGTCAGTATGCTGCTGGAGCCAGGCGGCAGAAAAGATTCTCAGGTGATGGCGGGACTGCTGAGAAAATAGTCTGCAGCACACGGCGATTCCAAGAGTGACGTTAAACGTGATGGCGTGGAAGCAGGTGTGTGTGACTGTGATGACTGCAGCAGAGGGGAGCAGCCTTCTGGATTCCCACTTTTCTACCTCCAGCCCTTCATCTGAGAGTGGCTCTCCACCTTAAGTGAGCATCTCCCATTCCATACCATCTTGGTTTCCACCGACCTCTTTTGCATGCTGTGTCTAATCCTGTCAACCCCATTGCCAGCAAGGTGCCAGAAAAAAAAAAACTTCTGGACTTGATATTGAGGGAGTTGAGGACCACATCCTGGGTGTCTTTGTCTGCCATGTGAGGCATGATCCAGCAACTGCTAAGTTTCCCTTCCAGGCAGAGGTACCAGCATGTATTTTCTTTATGTCTTCTACCTCAATAACCCATGTGTAAATTATATAACCGTAGCTAAGGCAACATGCCCACTGTCATCCATTTTCTTGAACTTATTTCATTTATTCCCAAGAATTTGGGATCATTTCCAAAGTATGGGGGCTTCATAGTGGGTGCAACAGTTGGAATCCAAATCCAAGTCAGTCTGGTTTCATGCCTGCAGCCACCGCAGTCCACACAGCATCCTTGTAAGAGTATTTGGGCATGAGAGTGGAGATGGTTTGAAGTTCATCAAGGTATTGAAAGTGCCATTTTTATTTGCAAGTAATATGCTATTTGTCATTCAGTAATGTCACCAATGACCATCTAAGCAAGGGAGGGAAGGAGACCAGAAGAGCAAGTGGGAGAGGGTAGAAATGTTCCTGGGAAAGTTCTCAGCGCACAGGCCTGGGGTTTCCCTTCCCTTGATGACCTTTTTCACTTAAGCATTTGGGTTCCACTTCTCATAATATACCATGGAGCGAAGTCATCGCTAAAGGAGACATACACTTCTCTACCCCAAACTCTGACAGTACCTTCAAAGAGCGCTGTTGCTCTCTTCGCAGGTGAAAATGTCAAGAAGGGAAAAATCATAATTCCTTTCAAATCATCAAACATTGTTTCATGTCCTCTTATGGGCATTGAACACATGAAAATTTTGAAGAAGGAATTATCCAAATACCGCAACAAAGCCCTCAAAGATACCAAAAGAAATGATGTCTTCTTGTGTGAGCTCAGACTCTCCAGTGTAAAAGATAATCACAGGCATCTTTGGGAGGCTGGGGGGTGAAAGTAGAATTCAAATCTTTTGACTACATGTGACTTGGAGTTTTTAGAATGACTCCATCACTTCATTCTCCTTGAATTAATCATGATTTAAAACAGCAGCAGTAATTCTGTGTCACTGTTAAGCATTTAGGAGCGATGCAGTCAGTGGTCCATTTCTCAAACAGATACATGCTATGGTGATGCCAGAAGCAACAGTGGCACGTCTAGTTTAACATTCTGTTTGTAAAACTTCAAAGAATATATTCTTCTGAGTGAAAGTGAGGTATAGAGAAGTTGTTTATTTAATGACTATATACATCTCAATCTGTTGTAAGACTTTTGATCATTTCAAATGTATTCAAATAGAACCAATCGTGGTTATCTACTCTTCTGTTTGTGGGTTCTTGATCACTCTTTGTATCATTCCATCTGGCTGACTAGATGTAAGTTCAGCTTTAATTTCAAAATTGTGTTTCAGTATTTCTTTAAACTTGGTTACTAATACTAACATTCATATGGGCACGTGTACCAATGTTGTCACGTGGTGGTGAGTTTGGTCATAGTCACTCGGTCCTTTTAGATTTTGTCTACAGCTTTTTGTCTTTGAAGATTTGTTTTATTTTTATGTGTGTGTACGTGTATCTTTGAGGCCACATCCTGTACATGTGAGCTGGTGTTCAAGAAGGCCAAAGCGGAGTATCAGATTCCTTGGGGTCAAAGTGACAGGTTGTTGTTGTGAGATGCCCAATGTGAGTTCTGGGAAATGAACTCTAGTTCTCTGAAAAAGCAGGAAGTGCTCTAAACTGCTGAGCCCTCCAGCCCCTGACTATGTATTATGTAGCATTCAATAAGCAGAAAACAAGCAGAACTCTGATTTTGATTAAAAGATCATACTAAAAAGGAAATGTTATTCAACGATAAAGTTAAATCTCTTTCCTCCAAGCCTTTCCATATGACGAAATTTGCAAGGTCTTTATGAATTTTATAATTATAGACAAAAGGTGAACATCAATGACAAAGTTATCTGCTTGCTGTTGACAATGAAAATGGAAACCTCATGATAAAGATGACAACCTTTCTAAGTTATTAAATCTTTTCATCAACAACACACCCAAAACAGGTTGCAGTCACTAAACCCTTGCCTACTTCTAGGCAAGGTATGACACTCTGCTTGGGGATGTAGATACACAGAAGAGCTGCAATGTATTTTATGGGGGAGAATAGCATTAGGTTTGTCCTCCAAAAGACATCCGAGTTAAGGGTTTGATTTCCTGCTGTGGTGACAGTGGTGTCAGTCATACAGAATCATTTGGTCATTGAAGGTTCTTTGGCAAATCAACTAAATTTTCTACTAGTAAAATCTGACATTTTATAAACAACTGTTCTCAATTTGTATTATATTTTGTACAGAATTATTTAGAAATATTAGGGAAAGTATTGAATTAACTCTTTGCTTTAGAAGGTCAATTCCTGAAGCCTTGGCAAATTACACTGTTGCTCAAGTCCTACCTCATCCTTGCATGGGCAGAGAGAACTTGCAGAGAACTCCAAAGGGTACCCTACAAAGTAGAACAAAATCCAATTAAATATTGAGACCGTGAATGGTGTGCAAGTTTTAGATCTGAAATTAAGTAACTGCCTTTGAAATATCTTGACTTATGCATTCATTTCATAAGCCCTCTATTATGATGATTTCATATCCATTCTGGATAATATTTTGTTTTAGTTCAGAGGATCAAACCCAGGGTCTTGCACAAACTATGCAAGTACTGAGCTATATCCTCACTTCCCAATTTGTTTTATTCTGAATGCAGAAAAAATGTGGAATTGAGGAAAGATGATTTCATAGCTTCTAAATTTAATTGACAAGGGAATTATTTATAGGTAAATCCAGTTTCAAAGCTTACTCTATTTTATTCTCCTATGTTTTGATTTTGTCCTTGAATTGAAAAGACAGAGATCAAGATACATGCACACTTAAGCATATGCAGACTCCAGGCTATTTACAGAAACCTCTCAGAGCCCAAATATTCTAGTACTTATAGAAGTCCTTTCTTTAAATACTGAAAACACTATTGTAGAAAGTACTTCTTCAATGTCCTTCATTTCCAGTTTAGTACTCATAACATTCAACTTCTGAAGAATGATTGGCTGTTTTAAAAGTTCAAAGTAATAGAAAGTTTTCCAAACATTTCCAAAATCAGATGAGGGCTTTGATGGATGGACAGGTTCTTACTAGAAAACTACTGCATCCCTGGGCCATGTCACCATGTTACTTACACTTAGTTAATGCAAGATTAATTTGTACAGACAAGAATTATAATCCTTACTTAGTATACATAGACATATGGAGGATATACTTCAAAAATATTTCAGTTTTAAAACAGATCTTGAAAAGAACTATATCATAGGTTGTAATGAGCATTCTTCCCACCATCCTGGTCCCAGAGCTGTGTCAGTCCCAAATAAATACATGGGACGTTATATTAATTATGAAACTGATGGCCTTTGGCTATGGTTTCTTAATGGCTAGCTCTGACTTAATTATTAACCTGTAACTACTAATCTATATATTTTACAAGAACTTATGTTTCCCAGGACGCCAGCCTCATGCATCCTCTCTTCCCGGGATCACATGGCGACTCCCTATCTTGACTACATTTCCCAGAATCCTCTTCAATTCCTAGTCCCACCTATCTTGCTTTCATATTGGCCAACAGTGCTTTATTTATGAACCAATAAGACAAACATATACACAGAAGGACTCCTCCCATCAATAGGTTATTATAAATATATCTATTAAATTCAACCGAATCATCATAATTAACCATGTAGTTATTGTCATCTTTTCCTTTCACTCTGTTCAGATGGTTTCATAGACATGCCACAGAACTCAAATCCACCACTGAGGTTTTCACAGAATAGATCTACACTTTTGTCTTAACCTGTCCATACTTGGAGAAGCCATAAAGTCATAGTTCTCATGCCCATAAGAGCACTGAAGATGTAGAGATCAGATGACTTAAGTAGAGAAAGCAATGCGTTCTTTCTAAGAAAACTATGGACTTCAGCATTTCTTAATTCTTGTGAAGCAATTGGGGTGGAGGAGACAACAAAAACTATACATTTTACATTTAAGATAAGAAGGAATTGGTATGAGTTTAAAGGACGTTATTGGTCATTTGCAACTGACAGAAAAGTTGGGAATCCTGAGTAATCCCACTATGATAGCTAATATTTTTCAAGTATTTTATATTTAGTTTTTATGAATGTCGTATTTCTATAAAATGTATTCTGATCATATTAACTCTCTACCAGCCCCCAATTACTTCTTGACTCCCATTATGTTCTTCCCCCTGCTTCTGCACTTCCCCCTCATCCTTCTGTCTCACTATGTCACTCTGATTGAATATGAACTAGCCATGGAGAGAGCAGACTGGTCTTAGAACTTATAAAGATCTGCATGCCTTTGTCTCTTAAATGCTGACAATTTTAGACATGTGCCAACATAACAAGCACCCCAGTGAAGCTATCTGCGAATGAGTATAGGACCATCCACTGGATCATGCACAACCTTCTAGGGGCCACTTCTCCGAAGAAAACTATCTCCATGTCTTCCAGCATCCATTGACTGTCAAGTAGCTCCACATGGATGATTAATCTTAATTGCCAATTTTACTAAACTTGGAACCAGCTAGGAGACATAGCTGTGCAAGGCTATTTCTAGGGAGGTGTAAGACAAAGAAATGCCCACCTTATGTGAGAGTGGTGCCATCTCTTTTTAGCTCCTAGCTAAAGAAAAAAGAAAGAGGAGGAAACCTGGATGGCATCAACAACCTTTTATCTGCTTCCTGGTCTTCCTCATAGAAGTGAGCAGTCTCTCACTCCAGCCAGCATCCACAGCCAAGAGCTACTTAGCCTGTAACTCCTTATCTGATAGAAAACATTCCAGCCATGAGCCTAATTAGCCCCTCTTCCCTCAGCTTGCTCTTTTGCTTGATTTGGTAACAGCAACAAGAAAAGTAACTAGTGTTCTGCCTTTAAAAACCCAGAAATGATTACTACGTGTAAGGATGTTTGGAGCAAGTGGGATGGTGGAATGGAATCCCAGTGACTAGGAAGTTCTCTCATCCATTGTGTGCTGGCTAGTTTTAAGTCACATGACACAAGCTAAAGTCATGTGTGGGGGGTGCTAATTAAGAAAATGCCTCCATAAGATCAGGCTGTAGGCAAGCCTGTAGGGTATTTGCTTAATTAGTGATTGATGGGGGAGGGCAGTCAATTGTGGATGGGGTCATTCCTGGGCTAGTGGCCCCAGGTTCTATAAGAAAGCAGGTTGAACAAACCATAATGAACAAGCCAGTAGGCAGCACCCCTCCATTGTCTCTGCATCATCTCCTACCCTGTTTGAGTTCCAGTCCTGACTTCCTTTAACGATGAAATGTGATGTGGAAGTCTAAGCCAAATAAACCCTTTCCTCCCCAACTTGCTTTGGTCATGGTGTTTCATCACAACAATAGTAACCCTAAGAGAACCTCTATCTTCTACACAATGTGCATACATCTACACATATATGTGCAAATACTAATACAGATACAAGTGTGCATGCACACTGCATATGTATGTACATGTAAAAATGTGTTTCTAATAGATGACATTTGTTGAAAAAAATATTAGTATGTCAAACCCAAAACAAAATGCAATATATTAAATGGACAAAGTAATGAACTTAATTAAAGACAGAGAGCCACACTGCTGTCCACAGCTGATTGTGAGTCCATCTTGAGTGGAGGAATGAAGATGATCCTGGTTACCACAGAGGATGACTGCCCAGATGGCATCTCTCTTGACTGACCCTTGTATTGACAGCAGCACTACTGAAGTCAAGGGATGTGTTATGATCAAAGGCTTCTATGAGTTCCTGATATTAGAGTTTAGAGCTATAAATATTTATTTTCCTAGGAGGAATCATGTAAAAGTATAGTGTCATACCTATATTACAAGGTAGGCATACTAAAAAACAGTGATCTGGTTAGTTCCAGATTCTCTGTCCTTAAGGTACCACACATTCCTATGGCCTACAGCTACATGAATGGCTCACTGGGCCTTGCCTGTATGAGCATGTTCCCTTCCTAGTTAGGGCACAGTCCTGTGGTCGTCATACCTATGAGCAGCATGCATGAGTAGCTGCAAGATCTTGTCTTGATATGTAGGAAGGGGTTTTCTTATCCCAATGATCTGAAGAGTGCCATTTCACAGTCAGTCACTGTCCCATAATTCCTCACACACCCTAGTCACTCATTGCTCCCGTATGTGTGATGTAATATTTGCATTTGTTTAATTTCATATTGTTACCAGGATTCAATAGTACTCACTAGAAATGAATACCTACCAGGTTAAATGTGAGATCTCCCTCTCCAACTTCTCCCTCTTCTCTATCTTTTTCTATGTCTCTATCCATACCCCAAGTATCTCACCAGTGAGTGCATTTTCAACTGTATCACTGTGGATGTCACTGATGGTTCAGAACAGCATGTTTCTGAAATTGATCATGAACCACTTCTTAAATTGTATCAAGTGACCTGAGCATCTATTGAGGCTGCTATAAAGGTTTTCTTCTTTTTTAACGTAAGAATATACACTGACTCATTTGGAATGTCAGTTAAAGATAGAAACAGTAAGAAGACTTATTCCTGTAGCATTTTTGACTTAATAGAAATCCACACTAATCAACATAGTATGCTTTTTGATAACACTATAGGTAAGAAATCACAGAATAAGACAGATACCTATGAACTAGAGCCAGTCAAGTGCAGGCAGCTGCTAGTCACTACTGAGCTAATACAAAGGTTGAATATTCTGGAGACAGAACAGACACGGGCAAGAAAAAAAGATCCCCCAAAAACTTAATCAATACATCACACACAAAATTTGAATCTTGGTTATCCTGAACACAGAAATTGTTAATGCAGGTCTCCATAAACATCTCCTATAAAGGTGAAAACAAGAAATACTTTCAGCAGGAAATGTTGACTTAGTAGACACACAAAGAAAATGAGCAACCATCTGAAGACTAGGAAAAATTTCTCACAACAAGTATTTTCTTCATTATATTTCATTGAGATCCTACAAAACCCTTAAATAAAAAATAGGGAGACTACAAGAAGATGCATGCATAAAAGGAAGATGTCCTTCCAGCTTTGGAATAAGTGGAGGCATGAAGATGTCCACTGAGCTGTGGGTTAGGCCCAGCATCAGTAGCCATCAGATACATATGAATGAGATTCACATATACCAATCAGCAAAAGACACTGAAAAAAAAACTCATGATATATCAACTGCAGGTTGAGGTTTTGTGGGCAGAATTCTCTCCCAACAAAGTCACACATCAAGGCTTTAACCTCCAATACCCAAGAATGTGACCATGCTTGGATCTTTAAAGCAGTGGTTAAGGGTAAATTAGGTTATAAGGTTGACCCCAATCCAATGTGTCCAGCTGATATCTTTATAATGAGAGGGGACTTAGGAAGACTGTTTGCTCAGTAAAATGCTTGCCTTGAAAGCATAATGTCAAGGCTATGGTCCTCAGAACTCAATTTACCAATGCTTGGAATGGTGATACAAATTTATAATATCAGTGCTGAGGAAGGAGAGGCAGGTAGATCAGTGGGCTCACTGATCAGAAAGTCTAACCTACCTGAGCGAGTCTAGAACAGTGAAAGACCCTATCTAAAGAGGTAGATGGTGCTTCTGGCTTCTACATACATGTGAGTACAAACACACAGGCCCCATGTTTCCCTGTATACACATATTCACACACACACACACACACACACACACACACACGCATGCACACACAAACTAGAGGGAAAGAGACATATTAAAGATGTGTGGGCATGAGGAAAGGCAGTGTGGGAACGTTTGGGGAAGGTGTCTGGAGAACAGACTTCAGGTGTGTGTGACCCTGCAGGCCTCTTCCCCTTGCTTCCCATGTGTGAGGCAGCATTTCTGTGTGCTTTGCTTAGGTCGATGCAACGAGGAGTGTCTGGAACTGCTGAGCATAGCTGAGCAGATCATGGAGAGCATTGGTTTGGTAGCTGGTTTTACTGTCCACCATCCAGCCAGTGCCAGCCAGTCTGTCCTACAGGAATACAGATATCCAAGAGAAGGCCATGCATGTGTCCAGATGATGACACAGGAAAGAGTAATTCAGGGCAGGTTGTTGATTCATGGGACAACACAGGAAAGGGTACTTTAATTTTGTAGACTGGAGGAAAGACCAGTGGGGAACTTGGAAGGGGGAAGAACTGAGTCCATTCTGGTGGTTCAAAATGACTGACATGGTGTTCAGAAATAAGCTCAGGCATGCCCTGGTGTTTTATGACCCACTAGACAGGAAAGCCCCTCTTACATGTTCATATTAATCAGAAATGCAAAGATGTCTAGAAACACCTGTGCTCTAAAATGGTGGTGGGTCAGTAGACACGTAGAAGTGGGTGTGAATCCAGCCTCGCTTCTTCATGAATTCCAGAAGCCTGGACATGGGGGTATTCAGGAAATCTGGTTCATGGCCTCTGCTGGCGCTCTCCATGGTGATGAGAGGACGGGTGAGGGAAAACACGAGACTGGTTCCTAAGCCCCCATCCAGGACAGAGGTCCCAGTCTTTGCCTGGCTCCTCCACTGAGGACAAGTGCTGCCAACTGTTCCATTACCACTGTAGGACATCACAACCTCCCAAGTCAGACCTCAAAGGTTGAGGTTGAGGAAGAAGCCATTTGGGCAAGGTAAGAGTGCTTGTTGGGACAGACAGGGACACCTGCTGATATCACTCCTGAGACTGATAGAAGAGTGTACCCAACACCTTGCAGAGTTTCAATAGGACGTTACAGAGGCAGGGAATTCAGAGGTCATACCACCCTCACTGAGGCCTCTAAATCTAGTGTTTATGGTATTCAGAGGCAAAATGGCAGATGTGACAGATGCCACAAGGAACCTCTTGGTCTGCCTCAGAGCAGCTGGCTGCTTACACAGCTCTGGTTTCAGGTCCCAAGTCCTCAGAGGAAGCCCATCTTACACAGGTCTCGGCAGGCAGCTGTATTGTGCTTTACTCTTTTTGAGAGATGAAGGAGCCCATCCCCCAAGACTCTGGTACCATATTGATCTTCTTCCTGTTTCCCTGGACACCAGGTGGCTCTGCATGATGTCTGGCCCTGGCTGCTTCCTGGGAAGGGACAGCCACAGCAGGGGCCCAGCTGCCTCAGTGAGAGCATGTGCAGTCCGGGTCTCTCTGGCCCCAGACTGTGCGAGGATCAATGCATCAACAGGGCTTTGGCTGTGCTGCTTTTGAACATCATTAACAATGGGGAGGAAAAGCAAAATTTTAGATGCACAGGAGAGAAGCCAGGCCTACACCATGGCTGCTAGCTCCTTGCTCTGTGTGTGTGCGCGTGTGCATGCGCACATGTGTTCATGTGTGCAGATGCACATTTGTGGGGGATATGCATGCACATGTTAGTCAGAGGGTAACCTTTCTGTTGTTCTCCAGACACTACTTACTTTGTTTAGGGATGTATTTATTTGTTTATTTTTGGTTTGGTTTGATTTGGTTTGGGTTGGTGAGACAGTGTCTTTCACTGGCCTGGAACTTGCTGAATACACTGTTTGGATGCCCAGCAAGTCCAGAGATCTGCTTGTCTCTGCCACCCAGTGTTAGGATTTTAAGTTCATGCCATTCTACCCAGATTTTTATTTCTATTCAGTTCTGGAGTTCCAACTCTGGTACTCATCCTGGCAAGGCACACATTTTGTTGACTGATGCCTCTCCCCGGCCCCCTTGACTCTCCTCACCCTGCTCCTCCCAGCACCATGAGCCACAGGGCTAACAGGAATGGGCTTTTCATATCAGAAGTGTAGCCAGCAAGAGGACTGTTGGTGGTGCCCTCGGTGAATCATCAGCGTGAGTTAGCTTACTTCTGGATGCTCCAACTCCTGCAGAACAGTGTGATCTGAACTCAGCCTGGCGCCTCAGTAGAGACAGCGGGCTTCAAGCAGAGGGTGTGTGCCTTTTAATCAGCTCCA